TTCCCCCCCAGTAGCGTTTTCAACCTTCTGAAATAAAAAGTTGTCTGCAATGCAGTCCAAGAATTTGTTGGATAGTCTGTGCCCCGCTGTGTTATTTTCCCCACATATATCCGGATAGTTGAAGTCCCCCATCACCACCAAATCTTGGTCTTTGGATGATTTTGTTAGTTGTTTAAAAAAAGCCTCTTCCAGCTGGTTAGGTGGCCTGTAGTAGACTCCTAGCATGACATCACCCTTGTTTTTTACCCCTTTTAGCCTAACCCAGAGACTCTCAACACTTCCGTCTCCTATGTCCATCTATGAGGATGAATGTACTTCTATTGTCTAGACAGGTGGTGGTCATCCACCAGAGCATTAAATTTAATGGTGTGTCAGTACCATGTTATGTTCTGAAGCCTGCCAGCGAGATCGAAGATACTAGCAGCTAATGGGCAGCAGAAACTTTTTTTTGGTAGCTTCTCTCTTACCTTGTTTAGATAAGAGGTTAAAACTCAGTGCTATGTCTATGAGAAAAACTTTTTAAAATATGAAGAAGACTGGGCTGATCTAAGGGTAGAGGTCTGCTTTGTGATTAGCAAGAGCAAAGCTTACTTAATAGTGACAGGCTCTGAAAGATGGTGCTTCTGCTTGGCCAAAAAGATGGGGTCTTAGACAAGGCTTTATCAAAGATGGAGAGGAGCCTGTGAGAGAAAGGAATTTAAGAAAAGACACTTGCTATCATATTAAAAAAAATGCAGATTAATGTTCAGATAAGCATCTCACAAGTGATTGTCATACAGCATCAGCACTGTTTGACTTTACCTTGCATCTTAAACAAACCTGGTCAGATACTCTTCAGAATGCTAGTAGGAATCAGATAATGCTTTGGGGTTCTACAGGACTGGTATCTTTGCATGCTATCTTGCAGAAGTCAAGAGTAGATAGTAGCCCATGCTGATCTGTGTTGTGATCTGGGAGTTTGTACTGTCACTTTTCACAGTATCATTTTTGAAAAATGAAAGTTTACTTGGAATACTGAAATGCTAATAACTTATTTTTCCAGTTATACATTTGTGTGACAAGTCACGTGCACTAATAAAATAACTTGAATATTCAACTAGCTGCAATTAAGATAAAACACTAATACAGGTAAGATAAAACCTCTAATACATAGAAAATACAGCTCCTTTTAATGTTTTTATTTTGCCCATATACAGGTTGCCAGTATACAGCATAGCACTGACAACAGGCAGTGCAACACATTATATTGCATTTCTGTTGGCCAAAGAGTAAAACTAATATATAATAAAAAAGGTAATAGTGCATCAAAACTAGGGTTGACAGGTATCCACACACATCCCCTCACATAAACTCAATTAAGAGCACAAGTTGAATCAAAAGTCATTCCTTAGAATTTTTGGTTGCAATACAGCTAATATAAACATAAGTTATAAAAAAGTACAGGTCATAGAAATGTTTACAAATAAGTTAATTTCAATATTCACATTAGAAAAATATACATTTGATATGATCAGTCTTTTCCAGAAGAAAGCATGTATAAATAAAACAGGTTTTTATATTTATGGCTCCACTTCACTTTACGAGAGCAAAATATCTTCACTTTGGCCATCTGCTTCCATTGCCAGTAGTGCTTCCACAGTTTCCAAAGGAACCCCCTCAGGGGTGCGAATGTGCATTGTAGTACCATCAGCATTAGTTACAATCACAATGCCTTCTGCTTGAGACAGAACAGCAGTACCTGGATGAGATAGAATAAGCCCATCTGCAGTCTGAATAAAGATCTGTTCCTGTCCCTGGGACAAGAATTCATGGCTCTCATCAGCAATCTCAAAGGCTACAGTTTCACCTACAGTAACTGCATTCTCTAGCTCATGTTGTCCAGCATGTTGTTCCTCTAGCCCACAAGAGAATTCATTCAAGTTTTTAATTGGACTTTCAAGATTCTCCCGAGTGGATATGGAGGTTTCCTGTACAGGATTCTGATGTGGGTCAGTTTGAGTCTTGTATGAATGGTCTACTGGCACAATGTTTGTTGAAAAGACTTTTTCAAGCTGCTGCATCTGATCAGCAATATCAGCATCATTAAGTTGTTCAGACTGTTCACTGGTAATAGTGTAACTCTGGTTTTCTTCATCTTGCTGAAGTTTCTGATATTTTCCATTATGATCAGTTCCTTTATTCATTGACAAGTTGGTACTCTGATTATCAATCACATCTTCTGATACCATGGAGCTACAAAATTCAGAACTTGTCAGTCTACCTGCTGTGTTCTCGTTTACAAAGTGTGCTTGAACAAATTCTTCTGGTGAGCTATCTGCCTCAGCATGCAACAATGCTTCAGTACATGGTGGAGATGTGTTACTTGTACTATCTGGTCCCTGTATACTTATGAGTTGAGAGCATTCCATTCTCATTTTCATGGACTGAAGGATATCTGAATTTTCAGTGTTAGTTCTAGCTTCTAAATCAAGTGATTTGTGTTGCTCCCCAGTATGCTTTGCACTTCCAGTTATGCAAGGAGTAATACCTCTGTCCTTGGAGAACACAACCATCCCATTTAGTGGATTAAAACCTGAACAGTTGGGAAAAAATGTTACAGCATGTTGTACAACAATATGATTTTGAACTCTCAAAAGTAATTTTCTACAAGCATCTTTCTAAGATTTTATCTAGTTTTCCCTCCATCAAGTAGCATTGGATTCTTAGAACAGAATTATGCTATTGCCCTACGAATAATGGTACAAAAATTACACTTTTCCAAGGAGTCTGAAGTATACTTCTACTCAGGCTCTAGAAGTAGCTCCAGTAGGTTCCATATTTATTCTCCCAATGGCTCCATATCAAATGACCTTAGTTTATAAGAAAAGGGTGGTGATGGGTTTTTGTGTCATAATCCTGAAAACAGGATCAAAGATATGCTGGGTTCTTTCCATCATGCATGTCACTAGTAATAAGAGATACAACAGCAGGCCTAATTATGCCCCTTCTGGCACCTGTGCAACTTTGTTACCTTTAGTAGGTTTTCACTGGTATTGTCGATTGGACCTTAGTAAAAAAATCACACTCAGTAACAAACACTGATATGCCAACTCATTCAATTTTAGCTGTTTCCTCTTCATGGTTAACAAGAGTCAAAACTTGTTTTTGTCATTAAGATATTGATTACATAGGAGACCTGTCAGGTAAGAAAGTGCCATTTTTATATGGTCAGGTTTTAAAGTGGAGCTGCACCTTAAGCTAGCACAAACCTTAGTGGTGGTGCTAATGAATCAGATACTGTTTCTTTCTTGACTTTTTAAATAAATGGAAGTACAGCAGAAAATCCTCTTGTAAATGAAATAAGAGGAATGTGGTCTTGTAAGGGATACTTTAAAGGAGGAACAAGGAATATCTAAAAAAGTGAAAGAGAAGAAGGGGCAAAAATAAGCAAAAGCACAGAAGCTTGTACTAGTGGCAAAATAACAGCTATATGAAGAGAGGATAAAAAGGTGTAGTTCTTACACTGATTTTATCTACACTCTGACCAGCCCCATGTTCTGTCTTTTCTGTGTTTGTACAGTCCCTAGTACAATGGGGTCCTAGTCCATGATAGGGGCTCCTAGACACTATGATAATACAAATAAATAATATTCTTAACTCAGACTTCTCAGCTATCATTTAAGGACCTACAGAAACAAGTGCAAGACTAAGTTGAAGGCATGGTCATGACATCTTTAGAGACAACACAAGATAATGGAATTAACTGAACTGCACCAAAACAGAACAGAGTTGGTAAGTTAGAAGTTAAATGTTACCGTCTTTTGTAGTCAGTGTAGACAAGTTCCAGCTCTTTTCCTCTTCTCCATTTTGGCTAGCATAAACATTTTCCACATTCTCCAATATGCCTTCTACTCTGGTCCTTTTAGCTGATGGCAACAGTTCTTCATATGAACTCTGTCAATACAAAAACTAGCAGGTTTTAGATCACTTGCAGAAATAGACAATTTGTGATCTTTTCCAGTACTAAGTATAACATTACTCCCACCTACAACAGTTTTTCAAAGCTAGGGGGCCCTTAAAAAAATTCTAAACACAATCTAGAACTTTTTAAAAGATGTTTTCTTGTCTTAGTTTTGATGTCTGTTTTAATAAACCTGGCCTTGCTTCACAATTTGAGGGATGGTCTGAGAGAAGTCTCACTAGTAAGATCTGACACAGCTCACACAAGGAATACCTACTATAGAAGACAGGTTTCAGAGTATTCAAATTTGTTAGTCTCTAAGGTGCCACAAGTACTCCTGTTCTTTTTACTATAGAAGAAAATCTCTCCTCCCTCCCCTCTCCAGCTTCAGTAAAGGGCAGTGAACTCCCTGCCATGAGAAGTGAGAGTGGGGGTGGGAAGGCTGACAAGGTTACAAGTTTAAGCAGAGGCAGAAAAAAGGGAAGATGTTGCCATCAATCCTCTCTAAAGGCAGCTCTGAGGGCTCGTCTACACTACAAAATTAGGTCGACTTAATTTAGGTCGACCTACGGCCACCAGGGTAATTCAGTCGGCTGTTGGTGTCCACATTGCCCTCCTTCTGCCAGTGGAGCACATCCTCACCAGGAGTGCTTGCATCGACTAAAGTGGGGCATTGCGAGCACTGACAGCCAAGCATGGCACACTGACAGCCACTGGGGCTCACAGCTGGAGCCTGGGCCTCAGGGTAACAGCCCCAGCTGTGAGTCCAACTGGTTCAATTTCACAGCATGGAGCCTACTAGCAGTGAAATTGACATTGTCTATTTCACGGCTGTTATTGTCTCTGACTCAGAGCTGTAGTGCTCTGAGAACCCTGGGGGCTCAGCACTGGGCAAGGCTCACAGCTGGAGACAAGAAATTGGCCAGGCTCAATTTCACAAAACCAAGACTACCAGCAGTGAAGCCAATTTCACGGCTTCAAGTTATAAGCAGGTGCTGCTGACAGAATGACAGCCAAGAGGTGATGTAAGTAACAGCGTCTGCATGGACACTGTGACCCTAACTACACCAACTGAAGTGCTACACCTCTCATGAGGTGGAGCTGTTATGTTGGTGTAGCAGGCCACTTACTTGGGCAGAAGCAGCATTCTAGCGTAGAAACTGACATAATTAGGTCAGGTTTCAGAGTAGCAGCCGTGTTAGTCTATATCCGCAAAAAGAAGAACCGGAGTACTTGTGGCACCTTAGAGACTAACAAATTTATTAGAGCATAAGCTTTCGCATCCGAAGAAGTGGGCTGTAGTCCACGAAAGCTTATGCTCTA